TTCTAACACTTAGAGCTATGATTACCCATAAGCATAAATCCCTTAGAAAAATGCATTTTCCTTAAATATATGAATTCTAAAATTATGTCTTGAGTATGTGCTATCTTCTAGGTTTTGCCCCAGATTCTTTTGATATGCCAGTAAACAAATGTGATGCAATTAATTGTGAAATATTTCTAGTTTAGCAATTAAAATTATGCTATGAAAGTGATAGCCTAGGGGCTTCAGTCCCAAAGAAAATGAAATTTAAACTAAGCAAAAATGACTAGGAAGTAATGTGACTAAGGTCAGAGGGGCAATGTCATGTCAATCTAGGTCATGAAAGGAAGAGACCTGGAACTCTCCGGGAATTAGGAATGGCCCAGTATGAATAGGTCAGATTTAATGATGGGTATCGAAGCTGGAGAGGCAAATCTGTTGGAGAGATCATGCAGGGGCTTGAAAATAATATCAGATCGTACACTTTCCTCTGAAGGCAAATTAGAAGACACTGAAAAGATTCATTGAGGGGCTAACATGGTCTGATTCATGTTTTCTTTTTTAATGTAATTTTTCTGTAAAAGGCAAAGGTTTCTCACTGTGTACAATTGTGTACACAAGATGATTTAAATTCCAAGTTGTCATTGGCTAATAGAGAAACTTTTTTCTGAATAAGGCTGCTATAAGGGTGTGAAAGAGGATATAGTGTCCATGTGGGGACTAAATGCCGGGAACAGAAAAGGAGGAAGGGCTTAGGAACTTCTTCTGCTTTGTGGTTGGGGCGAGACTGGTCCTGCCTATGCATGTCTGAAGTAACAGGAGTGTAAGTTCACAGGCACTTGCTTCTTCTCTCATGGTCATCTTCCCCCTCATCTGGACCCTGGTGCCTATGCTCTATCATTGTACAGACTTCTCTCCTACATATGATCTCATGTAGAGATTCAACGAACTATCCAAGCATCACTGATCCCTCTCTGAGAATCATTATCAAATCTCTTTATTAATGTCGGATGAGATATCAAACTTCCCTGTGTCAATACATCATTTAGCATATGCAATTACACATATGCAATTGTTTGGTGTCACCCTGTGCATACCTCACTAATGATAGAAAAATTATGCATACCCAGCTCTGACGACTGTTCTTCATCTTGCTAACATGTTTCATAATGTCTGCTGGACAGCTGACACTGGAATGTCATTGGAATCACATATATCTTCCTATGACTGAATTCGTTATGTCTTTCTCAAGACAACTGGCCTTTGAACTCTCTTGCATTTGTCAGCAACATCAGCATTTCCTTTCTCCCAAGATCAAGGTTCAGAGTCATCTTTGATTCCTTCATCTTATGCGCTCATCAAATCGAACCATGAAGATTCCTCCTATTCACTTGGTGAAATGCTAATATGCCGTTTCTTCTTCCCTTTCATGACCTTTTATCCTTGCTCCTACTTAACTCACATTAGGGTACTTCCACCAAGCTCCTGCTAAACCTATATTCTTTTGTCAGCAAATCCTTGGGGACATGGGTGACTACTCTGTCTATTTGACTCTTCATCAAGCTAACTTTATTTAGTAAAGGATTTTCTGTGTATTTCTCTTTTTTTCGGGGGGCCAATGCTGGTGTTTTTACTGAGGGCCATGTGCCTGCTAAGTAAGTGCTCTACCACTCAAAACACCTCCAGCCCTTTGTGCTGTAGTTTATTTTTAAGATAGTGTCTTGGGCTTTTTGCCTTGGTGGATCTCAGAATGATCCTCCTACCTATGCACCCCATGTAGCTGGAATTACAGATGTGTATTACCACACACACCTGGCTTATTTATTTCTCTCTTTTTGCCCTGTCTGGATTGAAATTGTGATCTTTCTGATCTCTGCCTCCTGAGTAGCTGAGATTACAGTTGGCTGTCCTCGGCTTTTAAGACAAAAGCTTGGAACTCAGGAAGCTCATTGAGGTTACCTGGAAACACTCATTTACAAAACAGAGCTAAGCAACTTGGAATAATATTATATTTTCTTTGCTTTTTTTGGTGGCCTTGGGATTTGAACTCAGGGCTCCATACTTGCTAGGTAAGTGGTCTACACTTTAGCCAGGCCTCTAGTCCCTTTTGATCTGGTTATTTTGGAGATTAACTCTCACATTTTGGACTACAATTCTCTTATTTTACACTTCCTGCCATAGCTGGGATGATAGGTGTGCACCCCCACACTTAGCTTTTTACTGTTTAGATGGGGTCTCAAACTTTTTTGCCTATGACTGGCCTGGAACTGCAACAACATATTTTCATCAAAGCACCTTTAAAAAAATTGGTTGCCCACCACTAACAACAGGTGTTGGCGAGGATGTGGGGGAAAAAAGAACCCTCTTACACTACTGGTGGGAATGTAAACTAGTACAACCACTCTGGAAAAAAATTTGGAGGCTACTTAAAAAGCTAAACATTGATCTACCATTTGATCCAGCAATACCACTCTTGGGGATATACCCAAAAGACTGTGACACAGGTTACTCCAGAGGCACCTGCACACCCATGCTTATTGCGGCACTATTCACAATAGCCAAGTTATGGAAACAGCCAAGATGCCCCAGCACTGATGAATGGATTAAGAAAATGTGGTATCTATACACAATGGAATTTTATGCAGCCATGAAGAAGAACGAAATGTTATCATTCGCTGGTAAATGGATGGAATTGGAGAACATCATTCTGAGTGAGGTTAGCCTGACCCAAAAAACCAAAAATCGTATGTTCTCCCTCATATGTGGACATTAGATCAAGGGCAAACACAACAAGGGGATTGGACTTTGATCACATGACAAAGCGAGAACACACAGGGAGGTATGAGGATAGGTAAGACACCTAAAAAACCAGATAGCATTTGTTGCCCTCAACGCAGAGAAACTAAAGCAGATACCTTAAAAGCAACTGAGGCCAATAGGAGAAGGAGACCAGGAACTAGAGAAAAGGTTAGATCAAAAAGAATTAACTTAGAAGGTAACACACATGCACAGGAAATCAATGTAGTTAACTCCCTGTATAGCTATCCTTATCTCAACTAGCAAAAACCCTTGGTCCTTCCTATTATCACTTATACTCTCTGTTCAACAAAATTAGAGATAAGGGCAAAATAGTTTCTGCTGGGTAAGGAGGGGATGGGGGGAGAGGAAGGGGGCCGGAGGGGGTGGAGGGAAGGGAAGGGGTGGGGGAACGGGGAAGAAATGACCCAAACATTGCATGCACATATGAATAAAATAAATAAATAAATAAATAATAAAAAATTGGTTGCTATTAACCTGTGAACCTTCCACACTAATTCACAAAAAAATCTTAAGCGAACAATGTTAAGTCCCTTATCTCCACCTGACCTAGTAGTATGTCCCCTGATCTGTCTAGAATGATGTCCAGGCATCTCTGCCCTTCCCCTGACTTTATAGAAAAGCCACATATGCATCATATTCAAGTGATTATACATAACTTACACTAATATATAAATCAAAATAGTGTCACCTCACTTTTAAGTCCCTCTTAAATTCCCTAGCCTATTTCATATGGCCCTAGGTAGTCTGGCCTCTTCCACTTCTCCATCCTTATCTTCATCCTCCATCCCCCTCACTTATCACAGCTTGGTCACAGCAGGAGATTTTTAGGTCCCTGGTACCAAGCTCCACCCCTTCTCCTGTCTTCCTGCTAATGGCATCCTTTGACTGGATAGTTTTCCTGAGTTTTTCTTTGATCAGCTCCTGTCATCTTTTGAGCCTCTGTCTGCTTGTCACTTCCTGAAAAGTCTCTTCTGGTCTCCCAGAATAAGTTAAGGCTTTGTTATGTGTTCCCAAATGCCTTATCATGATTATAAATGTATATTAATTATAAAATATTTTGTTTTACGTCTGTGATCCCCATTAGGCAGTAAATTCCAATATGTCAGAAATTATCTAAATATTGTAATGCACATATAATGCCTAGAATAAAGCTTGATGCTTAATGGATGTTTGAGTGAATAAGTGAACATTTTATGAATAACTTCCAGAGAACGAACTATTCTAATATTATTCACATCCAGAGCTTATTTATTTTTCTTGCTCCTGCCCTGAATGGACATGGATCACATTTTCTGGGTTATGTGGTTCATGTTAAATGTGCATACATAATTTATAAAGTAACTTCAAGTTTTATAAAAGCAAACCCAAACAACTAAGCAATGTGCAGCAAAAGTCTCCACTTGCTCCTAAATTGAATGCAAACAGTTTACACTAATAAGTAGAATATGAAAGTGTTAAATAATTTGTTTTGTCTAAAATTGTCTCATTTATGGCATGGATATTCCTACAAATCCCTTTTAAAACTATTTTGCAAATGTATGCTTTGGGGTAAAAAGTATAAGAAAATGGTCTCATTGTTATGAAATGTCCACTTGCTACAGTGTTTTATGTATGATAATTAGAAAAGTTAATGTGGTCTTCTTTCCTAGAGGCTCCAACAACCCCACTGATCTGTCCATGACCTGTGTCTGTATCCTTTCATTCTTGAATTACCCTGCTGAGTCAGGCAATTGGAGAACAAATTAAAGCCAACAGTAGAGGAGATTTTTCTGATACAGAAAACTGACCTTAAAGAACCCGAGCCTCTTGAATATCTTTCTGTCAGGATGATAACATTTCACTAAATTTGCTTTGAGCAGCTAGGGTTTCACATACTCTCACCCACATTATCTCCACTATTATTGTCTAAACTAGAATGGGCATAAGACGCAATTGTTTTATCAATCCGTTTTTCAGGATAAGTCATTATTTAACTAAAAGAAAGAAGAAATCTGTTTTATATAGCAGCTTTCAAACCCACAGATACTTCTGATGACTCTTCTTCTATTCATCCTTTCTCTTTTTATCACCTTATATCCAGTCAGACAAATAACAGTATGAATAAATGAAACATTTTCAGGTTAGGTCACAAACACACACCTAACACACAACAGGAAGAACTACAATTGGATGATATCCAGGCTTTCTCCATAGTTACTGACCTGCATACTTCTAAGTTATCAGACCCATCATCATGGTCTGTAGGAGGCTTTTGAATGGAGTTATTCACCTGGCTCCCAGTGTCTTCCACATACCTCCCACCTTCTGTACCTGCCAGTATTTCAGTGCTGGAATCCATTTCTGAAGATCTTTTCTTGATTGCTTCATTTTGTCTAAGAGTATGCAAGAACTTAGAGTCTTTGTGGCGGTACCTGCCTTTGCTTCCCTCATAGTTCCTTGAGGGTCTCTTCAGCTCAAAGGATTCTTTTGGGAGAGAAGGACTGCGTTCTTGGTACCGTATGACTTTTCCTCTGCAGAGGTTTAAAGAGCAACTCTCACATTCCATCAACTCCTGTTGCTTTTCACCTTTGGATCCCAGATGAACAAGCTCAATTCCATTAGGGTTGGAAGACCCAGACACACTTCCACATGGCTTATCAGTATTTCTCCTTCTTCGTGACAGTCTGAATTTAACCTGGGCTTTCCTTTTTGCCTGAATCCATTGACTCTCATCTGTGGAAGAAGAATCTGAAGAATCTATGTAAAGTTCTCTCCATCTGGGATTTGAGAGCTGGAGATGAAAATCATTTCTTCTCCCTTTTGTTTGCTCTTCTGCATGCTCATATCTCTCAGAGACCCTTCTCCTCCTACTAGGCTTCTGTTTTACTGTTTTCTTACCAGACTCCTTTCTAGCAGGGCTCAACACCATGACAGGGGTGCAGTGCTCAAATGTATCTTCTGACATATTATGCAAGGTGGCAGATCTAGACAAAGCGGCAGGCAAAGGATGGGAAATGGGAATGGAGAGGAAAGTCATGGAAAAACAGAGAGAGAGAGAAAGAGAGAATGATGAAAATGACAGAATGACTGTAAGTTGGTAAATAAAGAGCAACAGAAGAAAAGGAACTAAAAGGGAAAAATTAAGCCAGTATAAATTGCCCATGGACAACGTGAAGCAGAAGCAAGAGCCACACATTCTCAGTATATAAAATGAAAAATACAAAACACTGGTCTAAGGAATATTGATAGGAACATTTCCCCAGTACTTACCTGCAGATGTCCTGTGTGGATGGACAGACAGACAATCTTGACTGGCTCCTGGGAGCTGCTCCTGTTGTTGGGCTGCTTGCCTGGAGAAACAAATTAGATAATTTGGCATCTTGGTTAAGGTAATACATGGTTGATATCTTGCTTTTTTTCCACATATTTAAAAAATTACAACAAATGTGGCTGCCAGTCATGTTGCTGGTAATGCAGCTCACTGAATATAGGAAGTTAAGGGACTCGTTTTGCAAAAGCAAAACTTGTTTGAGGAACTTGTAACAGCTGATATGCTGCACTGCTCTGCTGTTGCTTCATTTGTGAGAGAGGAAGATGATCCCACAAGTTTCTATTCTATTTACTATAATCATTTGGGTGGAATAGCTCAATTTGCCTAGGAAACAAATGAGTAACACTTGAAAATCCTACAAAATAACTTTACAGCTACAGTGCCATGATGTGACAAGGGTGATAACAGTCTGGTAAACCTAAATAATCAAATAGTCTTTAGGTTGCTACATATTGCCTTTAGTTAAGTTCAAGGCTTCATGAGATCACAAATTTGAAAACACTTTATAATGGTTAAAATTCTGCAGCTACTATTATTACTTCATTACTGAAACTAATAAAATTTGTCCGTGGCACCAGTCTTAACCTTTTTAACACTTTGACATACTGAACTTCAGAATGAGTTGCTGCAATAATTCAGATTATTAATACAAAATTGAATAATTTCACTAAATTCCTACTTTTGAAAGACAGCATTTTCTTCACTCTACTTGACTGCTTTAAACAACTGTATTTAACAGAGATGATGATGAGAAATCAAATGTTAGAATATCTTGATAATTTACTGTGTACATTGTGTGGTGTCTTTATCTACCACCCCTAAACCTTTGAATACTTTAACAGGTGAGAAATAATAAATTATAATTTTTAAATTATTATTGTTGTGCTGGGTGGGGGTAATTGGGGCATTTACAAAGTTCTTACAATGTATCAACTATATGATAGTTATATCCATCATTTTATAATTTTGAGTGATTATATGCCAGTCATTTTTCAAACTATTTCCATGTAGTCAATTAACACAATAAATGTATGTAAAATGCTACAGCTATTTGTATGTTACAGTTGAGGAAACTGCTGAATTGGGGAAGTTTCTCACCAGTAAGGGGTAGAACAGAGATTTGGACCAGGAATCTGACTCTGCCCTCTGTTCTGTGACCTGCCATCAATGTATTTTCTCCTCTTTTATTTAGGAGGAAACCAAGGGAATTACGAGTTTAGGTTGAGGCTTGTCAGACTGTATAGGAGAAGTATACAATTTCATCACCAAGAAAATAACACTAAGAGTAGAAATATTAACTCAAAATTTCAAAGTGCTTCTCAAAATTCTCATGTTAGATTGATAGGAACTACCTTATGCTGATAATTTTGGGATGCAGAGAAAGGTAAACTAAGTCTAACTCAGGATAAGAAAAAAATTAAATTGGATGAGTGGGTATAGTAGGTTTAAAATGGTCCTCTAAATATGTCCACATCCAAATATCTGAACCATGTAGATGTTTCCCTGCAGGCAAAAGAGACTTTCTATATGTGTTTAAGAATTTTGATATGGGGAGATTATCCTGATTTATCCCAGGAGACTTAATGTAATCATGAAGATCCTAATAAGAGGGAGACAGAATTAAGCATTAGGTAAAAAAATGAATATAAAAGTAGAGTTCAGAAAGGAGGGGAGATGCTATGCTGATGGCTTTGATGGTGAAGAGATGAGACCCCAAGCCCAGCAATGCAAGTGGACTGGAGATACTGGAAAAGGTTAGGAAAATGGGTTCTTCACTGGAACCTTCAAAAGGAATGTTGCTTGCTGAATCCTTGCTTTTAGTCCTATGGGATTCATATTTGGTGCTTAACCTTCAAAACTATAAGATAGTAAATTTGATTTGCTTAAAGACAACAAGTTCATGGCAATCTGTTATACCATCCATTGGAAAGTAATACAGGAAGGAGACACTTCACCAAATATTAGAAGGCATATGAGAATATTAAAGAAGAGATAAAAATATTCCAGGTAGAAGAAACTGTGCTGAGAGGGATGCATGGCGCCCTCAACATGCTACAATAATCTGATGTATATCTGTAGACTTTGTTTATAAGTTTCTGTCTCTCCTCTAACAACTAATGAATAAGGTATATTTTTAGTTTTGGTTTTTAAACATCATCTTTGAGCACCAGTCCATTTTCAATTACTAATCAAAATTCTCCTATTTCAAAGTTTTCTTCCAGAATAACTTAATCTCTGCACTCTTTGAACAGGCATATAGTCAAAATTTTGTAAAATGTAAGGATTTCTCTTCTTTAAGCAGTTAATTAGTTTCCTTATATTGTGCACCTCATATTTCATATATGCCTGTAGTAGGAGGCTCTGCACATTGTAGATACTGAGGAGAGGTCATCCAAAAAGTTTGATACTTGTCCTCTTTAAAAAAAAATCAATGCATTTCAAAGTGTCCTCACATTACTGATTATGTAATTGTGGATACAAACCACTCTCTGATGAACATCGTAATGGACACCCAAGGCTATGAAGTTGCCCTGGCAAAGGTGTCAAAATAGATAGGAGTAATTGTAATAAAACAAACATTATAATCTCACATGTCTGAACAAGTGTTTGTCTTACAATGGGAAAGTGATTTATAACTGATTGATTACAAAGAACTTGAAAAGCATTTCTTTTGGAGGGTGTTAGAGTCCACTGTGGCACTGAAGTAATATTTATGTCTAAAATCCTTAAGTATTTTGAAGGGAATAGGAAACAGTCCTTGTTGCCCATAAAGAATACTCAAATGGCTGACATCCAATTTTAGTTTATACACATTCAGTTTTCTGGAGTGCTACTGTAGTAAATGATGGACACTTGGCCCACCTCTGGATTCACCTGCATGTAGATTGCTTCTTACTTTAGTGTCTGGACCTATCTGCTTCTGTGCCCTAGATATTTTCTGATTCCATGTGCTCTTGCTTGGCTGCATACATACTCAACCTGGAAGCGTGCAATAAGCTAATATTCCTGGGGAAAACCCTTGAGGCTACAGTCAGTGGATAAATGCCCTAGTTTCTATACTCTGTAGAGGGGGGATTTCTGGGAAGTTCTATGGTTACTTCTAAAATTTCTCAACAGGTCCCCAACTAGATCAAGACCCAGTTTCTCCCATCTCATTAACTCATGCCTTTGGCACTTCCTCTTTCTCTGTCTTACTTTTCATGTGTTTTCTTTGTAAAATCATCTCCTAGAAAAACTACATATAATCAATTAAGACAGTTTTTATATTAAGAACTAAATTTATTTGACTAGTTGACTCTTGTAGAATGCAACTGAGACAAAAAATGAGCATAGTTTGTTTCACATTTGATTTATTTGTTCAGGAAACATGAATTAAGGGTCTGTTATGTAATAGATACTATGGTGAATAAAGAAACAGACAGTATTCAAAAGGATTTCCTGTTTAGTGGAGGAGACATGTAGGTGAACAGTTAATTTCAAAACTGTTTAGTATATCCACATAGAGCCCAGTAATGAGTGTTCTCAGAAAGGTTAGATTAAAAAGAATTAACCTAGAAGGTAACACCCACGCACAGGAAATCAATGTGAGTCAATGCCCTGTATAGCTATCCTTATCTCAACCAGCAAAACCCCTTGTTCCTTCCTATTATTGCTTATACTCTCTCTACAACAAAATTAGAGATAAGGGCAAAATAGTTTCTGCTGGTTATTGGGGGGGGAGCGGGAGGGCGTGGAGTGGGTGGTAAGGGAGGGGGAGGGGGCAGGGGGGAGAAATAAACCAAGCCTTGTATGCACATATGAATAATAAAAGAAAAATGAAAAAAATAAAATAAAAAAAAAATGAGTGTTCTCAGGAGGTTGGGTGCCTAGCATACAGTAGTGTCTTAAAGCAAATATCCCAGAGGAGCTAATATCTACCTCGAAAGGGTAAATATGAGTAAAGTGGGGGGAGTGGTCCAGACAGGGAAAAGACTGTCCAAAAGCATGGAGCAGGGTATACTAAGACACAGAAATTAATAGAATGTATGGGTCATACAGGAAGGGACCCATCATTGGACTAGAACTAAGAATCTATCTATCTATCATCTGTCTATCTATCCCTCAGTACACATAAAATTGCATTTTGAATTAGAGGAAAAGCTGTCTCTACTTTACTGCTTGCACTAAGTTTAGGTGAATGAAAGACTTAAATATAATAAAAGCCCTAAAAGTACTTGAAGGAAGCTAAATTGAGCATATTTACAATATTGTGAAAGGGAATCTCTTCTTTATAATGACATAAAGCAAAAAATTAATATAGGAAAAGACAGATCGGCATGATGGTTTCAAAAACAAAAACCTTCTCATTTATAACATGCTCATATGCCAACACAACCACAAACTTCAAAACTATAAATGATGCCATATTTCATAACACTTTAGACAGCCAGATAACTGATTTCATGAGTATTTGGAAATCTCTTACAAATCAAGAAAGAAAATTTGGTTAATTTTACAGAAAAATGGGTAAAACATACAGACAGCTCACTGAAAAAAATTATAAGTGGACAAAACCAGGTGTAGAAAGATGTTCAATCTCAACAAGAAACAAATGCGGATTCAGTTGACAGTAGCATCTGTTTCCACTTATCAGATCAGCATTCAAAAAAGAATGATAATACTCACCAAGCATAGATGAGGTGTGAAAACCAAGCATTGTAATATATTTTGTAAATTTTGACAAGTTATTTGCAGGGTAATTTGGTAAACTCTATTAAAATAAAAGGGTTTATGTAATTTAAGTCAGGAATTCTACTCATAGAAATTAATTTTGCTAAAACACTTGCACAGTTGCCCATTTTACGAAGATTTTCATTTTAGCATTGCTTGTAGTAGCAAGAAATTGGAAGCAAGCCACATGCCTATTTTAATTGTTTACAATGAAAACTATAGCCATTAAAAAGAACCGGGTACACCATACACATGCACACATACACATACATCTATAAAATGAAATTTTAAGAGAGAAATCAAGTTTCAAAATTGTATGTGGTGTGGTGGTGTTTGGGTAAATAATGC